CGGCGAGAGATTTATTTGAAGTTTTGCGCGCAAATTCCATGGTCATTCAGCTCGGCTTCTCATTGGTAGCGATGGTCATTCAACTCAGCTTCTCATTGGCCAATATAATGAGTGACAGCTTAGTTGTTGGTTTTAAAATCTTCGCGATTTTTTTAAATCGCCTTTTGAATTACATATTTTTAGGTTTAAGAAACAATCCATCGAATGAATGTCGCAATTGTTTACAAACGTTTTACAAAATCGTAACTTCCGTTCGGATACCACAACAAAACAACAAACAAAAGCTTCGCCATTTTGTTTTCTGTCGTGGTCGCCGTCTTCGCGTTTCGCGTTCTGAAGAGGGCTTGATGCTTGTGTTAGTTAGTCAGTCATAGTAAGTACTTAGGAAGTGGCGCGGGGTGACAGGTTTCTGTTTTTCTGCTCTTTGCGCGATTCGTGTGTCCCGTTTACCTCATCTTTTGTTTGTTTTCTGGCGCGCGCCAGTGCCAATGTTGGTTTAGATGTCGGTTCCCGTGGTTCCCGTAAAGAGTTTAGTGAGGCACGCGGCACCGCACTCAACGTTTAATAAAAAAAAAAATCAGTTACCACTGCGTGTCCTCGCGGCGGCTTGAAGGATCGTGCGGCTCGAACAACTCGTCGAGGCACCCGCTTCGCCGCGGCGAAGCGGGTGCCTCGCGGCGATCGGAGCGGACGCCTTCCGGCTGGCGAGGCGTGTCCTCGTACGGACGAAGGCCCAGCTGCTGGCAGCGTTGAAGCAACCGACGCTTCAGGTCGGGGTCCACCGCGACGACTATGTACTGTGTGTACGACCACGGTGACCACGGTACGTGCACGATACGACGCGGTATGTCGTTCGACCGGCAGACAGCCGGCCAGGGGCTGTGTTCCAAATCTCCAAACGGATCCGAGTTTCTCCGGCGGATCGTATCACGTGACAGCACAGATTGAAAAACGCTGTACGCGGGTAGGTTTTAGAACGCCAAGAGTACAAAACCCTCACCCTGGGGTAAGATCGAGTCAATTTTCGAACACGGCCAGGAAGTAGCAATGGCTCTCGTGTGGGGCGCAGCCAAGCCAGGAAAGCAGCCAAGCCGATCCACTACGAAGAGGCGGGGACTACCTCTCCTCCACGCGCCCGAGATGCCGAGAGAGAGAAAAGTGGAAAGGAGGTGAATGCCGACTAAATTGCGTCTGGCGCAGTCAATATTGCTCTAAAAATTTTTTTTTTTCGCGTAAAATTCATTTTTCGACACGCGTGTCTCAACCAGACTGTTTTTGAAAAACTTTTTTCTTCTTTTCAGGGGCCCTTTAACATATTTGGTCAAGGAAATATACGTGATCAAACTTATCTGAGAATACCAGAAGCGTTGATTATGAATGGCTTCTCTATTTCAGCGGCCGCTACGAGCACTAGCTTGCAACCTTTGGAAATGTTTCATTGCACTACTTCCAACTTTTGAAAGCTATGAGCTTGCGCGTGCAGCTTTCGGTTTGTTACAGGCGGACGGTTACGACCATTACTTGCACATGAGTACATTCATGGTGCAAGTAGTAGTTTTGTACCTTGAAAGCACTTGCACCCCCAAGAAGTGTGCCCACTACACCCCTTTTTTAAGAGTACGTGGTGCAAATGCTGATGTTGCTTCTGAAATTACACGAATGGTTCTCACTTTTAAAGAAGAAATCTTTATGTTAAGGTCACAATGGTTAATTCATATATGAGATTGCTTTCATTCATATTTATTTTATAATTGTGATCCTTATTGGAGGACCGTACTAATTTGTTAACATGAAAGGCCAACGACGACCGATGAAAATGGAGTAAAAATCTTTCTCGAAGAATAGGCTCCCGAAACCTACAGTAATTTTGGTTGTATTTTCTTATGGCAAGAAAAGGTAACAAGACCCTCCCTGAGAATATCATGCAGCAGTGACTATAGGAAAATGAGAAATTTAATCATATAAAATCGCACTTACTGAGTGGTTTGGAGATTTAACATCGCTTTTTTTTTGGCGGGGGGGGGGGGGGGGGAATTTAGACGCTATATAATATAATGCACTGCCTTCAGGATATGCCTTGGGAGTAGTGTATACTCACAATTTTAATGGAATTAGCGTTAGTTCATTTTTGACGCGGAGAAGATTGGCATGAACTATTTGAGGGCAAACAGTTTAGCCCTGCTTATCTCTTGATACGAGTTATTAGTGACAGCCATTACATTAAGCGTTATACTTGAAATATTGGCACCTTAATGCTACATAGTAATTGCGTAGGATTTAGTCGTTGCGGTCCCAATAATCTTATTGGCTCCTAAAATTTAGCATTTGCATTTAAACAACAAAATATTATGCAAAACCGCGACTACTAAAGAATGTGTTCCCTCTTTCTTCCTGTGCGTCTAATTAAATAAAATATTTAAAATATTAAATAGTCACAAAGATGTATACAGGAAATTGTATACTTTAAACTTAAGTATCAAATAAAACGAGGAGAAAAAATAGGCTAAGCACCAAAAGAAAAAAACAGCAAAAAAAACAAAACACGGAGAGAGCAACATAATTTATGTGTTTTTTTCGCTGTTTTTTATATTTTTTTCGGCGTCAATTGTTTTCCATCTCGTCTGCTTGTATTGACTTTCAGAACGAAACAAAAATATACATACAAATGAAAGCCGTTTACAGCTTCCTGTAACGCCGAATTAGAGTGCAGCTCTTGAGGAGGAGGAGGGAAGGGTACTGAGGGAAGGTATACCCTCCTCCCTCCTCACCTGCTCATCCTGTCTGCCACTCCTCCCTCCGAGCGGCGTCGCCGTCGCCTCACGAGGGTAACGTGGCCTCACGAAGGTCACGTGACGTCACGTGACAACCGTGACGTCACGTGACAACCGTGACGTCACGTGACAACCGTGACGGCATCGTCACTGATGACGTCATTATCACTGATGACGTCATTATCACTGATGACGTAATCGTCATCGTCATCACTGATGACGTCATCGGCATCGTCATCAGTGACGTCACACGTCCCATAATGCACCGCGCGGTTACGCCGACGGCGACAGCGACGCCGCTCAAGCCGAAACGGCCGCCTAAGAGCTGCGCTCTAAAACACTGCGTCGTGGGTACGACTAAAACTAGTACGATACGTGCAGATTGCTACTTACACATTTGGAAAGTTACTTCGTATTGCTCAGCACGTTCACTCCATCAACATCACAGGAGCAAATGGTGGAGTGGACATGTTTGACCTAAAAAAAATGCTTGTAATAAGTTTGTTTAAATTTATTTTGGGGGAAGCTCACATAAGTTTGTAAATTGACTGTATGAAAACAGTGAAATATAAACCGTCACTACTTTTAGATCTACTATTCATACTCCAATGTTCTGACTCAACAAAACAACTGCATAAAAAATGCTCCATTTTTTAATATACTCTTCTCAAAAGTGGGCTCCACCTTTTAGCTGCTGCTCCAATTACAGCCAAGTCCGCCATTGTTTGGACACGTATTCTGAGTGTGTGTTGGACTCGAGGTTTGGGTCAATGTTGCTTGATGAACTTTTGGAAACAGTTCATTCTCAAAGAAAGCTAAGGTGCCACCCCGCCGCTTGGCCCGAACGAGCCAAGGGGCGTGGTGGCACTTTTTTGTGGTTTTGAGATAACAGAATGAAAGAAGGTTTTGTCACCAGTTCTGTTCTTTTTACTTATAAAAAAAATCTTAGAGGACGTTTAGGTTTCGTCTATAAAAGTGGAACGCAATATGGTTATCGGGCGCCTTTTACAAAGCCTTCTCATGTAAACCCGCGTTCGTTCCCAAACCTTGCAAGCGTATGTGCGAGGCCTAGTCGGTAGCGTCATGTGTCATGTGACATCAGACGTGGCTGTGACGTCACACTTGACGTCATACGTGACTGCACGCGTTGCATTATGTAATCTTAAAGTCCCAGCGACGCCGACGCCAGATTTTCTGGGACACGAACTCCTAAACGCTACCGCGTTAAAAAGCTTCGCTTAATGTTTGATGTGTCGCAGCCCATCATTATAAAAAGAGCGTTTTCTTTTCTGGGCAGAGCTTCTGCCGATGTTCGTATGCTGCAACAAACTGTAAATATTTATAGGGTGTACAGGCTTAACTTTGGCTGGGTGCCCATGTTTCGGTGGCCCTTCAATGTGAATCTGTGAAGAAGAGCAACCTGTTGAGAGCCAGATGAATGTTCGCTTTCAGAAGCCGCAAAACTCCACAAGTTTGAACGTAACACTCGCTTTATTGATCCGGTTACCACTCTCGCCCCCTAGGAAAAAGGAAATCATATGACCACACAGCTTTCACGGGTGCACATTGATAATTGCAGAAAATTGTACGCACATGGTCACGTGGCCGTTGATGACTCACAGTCTTCAATGATGAGCTGAGTTCGTTATGGACGACACAGAAGCACCTCGTCTGTTTTGCGACCAGACTCACATTCCTGACTAGCAAAACCGTTCCGAAATAGACATAGAACGGTTGCGGGTTTGACACATCAAGGGGTGGGAAAGCAGTACATCGCGTTATACACAACTGTTTTGTGATTCCTCTTAGATGTCCTTATAAGCTACTAAGTTCTTGTTTGCGGCGTAGCAAGTCCTCAAACGATACGCAACACAGTTTTTTCCAGGTCCAGACACTTCTTGAAGCGAAGTCAGAAAGCCAAGCATTCTTATGCGTCGTCTTGGCGATGGCTAAACAACACTTTGGTTGCACGCTGGCGACGAATAAATTAATAATTCACGTAAGAGGTTACAATGCTCCCCTTTTTCATTGCGAACAAAACACCGGGAGCAATGTTTTTTGTGGAAGGGAGCCCCAGTAATCCCCAAATCATCCAAAAGAAATCGACAAGTAATTTAGTACCAAGAAAATCGGAATTGTGAAAATTAATCAAAATCTAGCAATCTTTGGCAAGAGCAAAACCTACTAGAGAGGGAAGACAGCATCGCTGGATTTATTCTGTCACCTACTAAAAGCCGGTGATGGGCGCCGATGGAACACGAGTGCTGCGTCAGCGCTCATTTCCAATATCTGCCTCGTTCCGGCATCTGATAGGTGACGTCACAAACCCAGCACAGTAAGGTCTTCTTCGCTAGATGGTGTTAGCCTAACACAAAAGAAAAATACACCCTTCGCCAAACTCGATACTCGGGTAAGCCGATTATGCACTTCGAGCACAAGAGGTACTCGATTTCCTGAAGTGCATTCCTGAAACGAAGTTCTCGAAACACACACACAGAAAACAGCAAACCGACTCAAAAGTATCGGGAATGCAGGTCACGTGGTGCGCGACTCACAGTGATACACAAAATGGACACAAACGACACACCACGAGTTAACAACAGCAACTTCCTCGGTCGATCTGCAGGAACGAACCCGCGCTGCTCGTGGATCACGCCATTGCAAGCTGTCTTTCTGCAGCAGCTCTTCTTGCGATGCAGAGCGCTAGAGGATATCGTTCGAAATTTTGGAAGTTTTAGTGGTGCAGTTACCCATTGTTTCCCGCTCAGTCTTTTCCCCTTCTTCTCCTATTCTCGTCCTGGAAGGGCCGGAAGAGGAACTGGACGCGTTCCTCTGGTAGCAGAAGATGATCTTGCGGAAGCTCTTGCGAAAGTTCTCCGACAGAAAAGCGTACAGAAACGGATTGACGCACGAGTTGGTGTAGGCCAGTATCTGCGAAGCGATCTGGATGACGATCCTCGGCGGATTCATGGGGAGACCATAGAGTTCGACGCTCTTCAGCACCAGGACTATTTGTACAGGACACCAACAAACTGCGAACACCACCACGACCACCACGACCAGTCGCGTGACGCGCTTCTTGGAGCGAACACTCTCGGCACTGACACGCCCTCCAGGAGTCACGCCGAACCAGAGCCTCTTCAGCATGAGAACGTACAAGATGAAAATGAGTGCGAGAGGAACAACGAAGGAGAACATAAAGAAGCAGATCTGGAAGGCTGCTAAGCTGTACCCCATCTCCGCCAGGAACGTACAGGAGGAGTAGTTGTCGTCCAAGAATACCATACCGTGGGAGAAGAGCGCCGGTACGCACGCCAAGAGGATGACCACCCACGTCAAGAAGATGGCGATGTACGCGTTCCGTTCCGTCCTGATAGACATGGAGGTGATCGGATGAACCACTGCGAGGAAGCGGTCGAAGGACATCAGGACTAGGGTGTAGATGCTAGCGTACGCGCACACGATGACCAAGTACTGCACGATGCGACACCAGACATCTCCGAAAGGCCAGTAGTTAAGGGTGTAGTCCCATCCGGTGAATGGCACGCAGAAGACAATGAACAAGAGGTCGGCCATGGCAAGGTTAATAATGAGGATGTTCGTCGTTGAGCGCATCTGGGGGTTGCAGAGGACGACGAGTACCACCAGGGCGTTGCCGAAGAACCCGACCACGGCGATGGCCCCGAACAGTATGGGGACCACGATAGCTAGGACTTCTTCCACGGCCCTGTTGCCAGGATAGTCGTACATGTCTTCGTACTCGGAGTCAGGGTACGACGGGCCAGAGACGTTGGCCCTGCAGAGACTGCTGTTTTCTTTACAAAGCCGGGAAGCAGAAGTTGCTATGGATTCTGGCAGAGCCGTCTGTGATAGCATCGCCATGGCCGTGGATAGCATCTCCAGCTTGTCGGAATTTGGCAGGGAGGTGGTCATTTCAAAGCTTGCGCCGTCTGTTGGAGGCCTCATGACGTCTCTGAGGTAGTAGGCCATCTTGAGGCGTTTGGCTTGTGTTAGAGGAGTCGCTTGTCCGTTGCTGTTGTATTTGGGATCAATTGGTGAGACCTGCAGTGATAAAAACAATTGTTTGTTGCAAAGTACGAAGGAGCAGTCGATCCAAAAAAAGTGGTGACCACCTAATTTTTATTATTACTTAAGTAGCCTTACTTAAAATTTACACTGAAGGCATACGAGCGTGACCTTAAAATCGTACGTACAGGTATTCTCTCTTAATTTGACAAATATTATTTTGAAAAAATGAGTACACACAGCGTATGACGCCTGGTTTAATATAACATGACCGGACCTCTGATCCCCTAAAATAAAACAAAAAACACACGAACAAACAACAAAAGAACCCAAATATGTGGAACAGAACGCGGAAGATTAATTTGAGGGGGAATTAATCCGCGATCATCGTAATTGCTAATGTAGTTTATTTTGGTGAGCTTACGCTTCAACGGTCTACAGGTTAGTGCATGGGATACTGCGGCATGTGCTAAAAAAAGATTCTCATGTTAAAATACAAGAAATATATTATTTGTTTTTAGAAATAGGTCGTTATTTTCTTCCCCCAAGGACAGCCTGGTATAATAAATACCAGACCTATGATAAATCACCGCACCAACAGGCTTTACGAAACAGCAGTATACAAAACTTTTAACGCCGCATGGCAGAATCCGCACAACTTTGCACAAAAAAAGAAGGCGTCTGAGTTTGTTGAACGTGATAAATTACCTGAAAACTCCACAAACTTGGGTTTCGCAACACGGTAATTTTCGTATACGATGAGCACGCATATATATGGGTGCATGCACACGTAAACGTGCACGTGCCCGTAGACGTACACGTACACGCACATACACGCACACACACGCACATGTACACGCACATAGGGACACATTCACGCAAACACACAGGAACCGTTGCTCATTATTCACCTAATTTTCTGAGCATGCTACGAGCTCCAGTGTGCGAAAACCGTAGCGCGGTAAGTTGATCGACCAAAGTCCCATCGTGAAAAGAAAAAAAAAAAAAAAGAAAAGAAAAAGGGGGAAAACAGTTGTTACGTTGAGGTAACGTTTTATGGCAGCGACCTTCTCTTTATAACCTTTTTTTTTTTTTTCGTGTGTCTTTTATAGACGCGGAACTTTTTATATGTTGCATAGTTCCCATCCTGGGCTGCACGCGGCTGTTACCGTGGCAACGGCCGTCATCGGGGATTAAGCAAAATGCCTCGGCGGTCGCTTCGAGCTTTGAGTATTCGTGTTGTTGCCCGATTATTCGGTGAACCCCGGAGTTGATGCGCGTCGTCGACCCGGCCCTTATAAAGATAGATGGACTAAAGAGAACTGTAATACCTTATGCCCCTTGGCGACTCCTCTTTAGATCTCTTGGGGGAAAAAAAAAAGCAATACCACAAATGTATTAACAAAGCTGGGCTCATGTCGAACGTTTTTGAAGCACAACAGTACACTCACCCGAAAGTATAATAAAAGCCACCGTCGCACGGCCATAATACATTGCACAAACGACACGGAGTTTCTCCGCGGAGAGGATGAGAGTAATGTATGCGGACATGCCTCAGGCATGCAGGAAACATGGTTGCTTCATACATTTATATGCGACCATGGCTGCTTTAAAAGGATTTCCAGTTTACTAATAGTGTATTAGAAACTTATTATTATTATTTTTTTTTAGTTTTGACATGGCGGCCAGGCTCGGTGGGGCATCAGTGTTCATAACAGAAGCATAGCGCACCAGTAAAACTTTAAGGAGTACGATGGGATTGTATAAAAAGGCTTCGGACACCGAAAGCACGTTGTATTAGAGCCGAAATGTTCTTCACGAGCACGATTCTTAAAAGGACCAAGAAACTATTTTGAGCAGAATTTCACTGACTACATATCGTTTATGGGATCAAAATGAAACTAGCCCGCGAGATTAGAAAGGTTAAATCCTAATTTTTGTCATGAACTTTTGGCAGATGAAAGCGGACTATATCTTACAATCTCTCCCTCGAACGCTCAGAACCAAGCTGAGTGAATGATGGGTGGATTAATAAAGTGGTTGAGGCGAAACTTTTACAATGGGTGGTAGCTTGCGCCACCTAGCAAAATAACCGCAACATTCACAATGTCGGAATGTTTTGTTTCCCCATAGTTCGAAAAAACTTCAGTGTAATATAGCTGCCGTATGGGATACGAGTAGTCTGTCGCTCGAACTCTGCTCTCAAACAATGAGATGGTCGATGAATGCCCTGGACAGAAATGACAGAGTTCAATACCCGGTTGCATAAGCCGCAGCGTAGTCGAGAGCACGAGTGGTTTCTCCAGCTCCAGTTTCAGCCTCACCGCCTGCCGCCGAATGTACCACTTCGAAACACCTGGTATCGGCTCATCGGATTGCCGATTAACCGGCCCCAGTGATCCGGCACAAGTGTTTTGTGCGAACGCGGCGAGATTCCGAAAGGAATGTGACCGCATCGAAAGGCACGGTACCAACGCCTCGGCTGCCGTCGTTTTGTATTCGCTTCTCTCTTCTTCGTTCCCAGCGTTTTGTGTTCGCAGCCGAAATGTGAACCTAGAATTCTGTACTGAGTAATCGCCACTTCTCCGCGGCCGGTTCCGGCGCCGAACTGCTACGGCCTTCGTCGCACGAGTTCTCGTTTTGCCACGTCCCGGCGGACGGAAAAAGGCCCATATTTTGACTACACCGAAACATTTTAAGCTCACTCAGCTGCGACGGATCCATAGCCATGGCGTTGATCGCGCAAGCGTCGCGGACCAACGAGTCTTACGAAGCAACCGGTGTTCATGGAAACCTCAGTAGGTGACGTCGTTTCGTCGTCCTTGCGTCGAAACGTTGACGCAAAAACGTCGTTTCGACGCAACGCGACGCTTGACTGACGCAGCTCCCTCGCTCGGCTGGGAGAACTTCCGTTTCCGGTAGAAAGGCATACTTTATGTCCAGCCACGTAAATTCACATGATGGTGGTCGAGTCCGGTCGAGTCGACGAGAAAAGCAGACGTGAATGTTCACCTTCTCTTTGTGCTAAACTGGAGGCTGTAAAATGAAAGCCGATTCCTGCTCCCGCTTCTATGAACATTGACGATTAGTTGAGGGACTTCATTTGGAAAAGAGCTGGAAAATCATCATTGTCCTTCTAATAACAATGCAGGATTGCTTATACTCTTCGCGTATTGCTGTTTATGAAGGACATGCTCTTGTCTTCAGCTTTCTTAAACACGATTAATGGCTAATATCGACTACCTCCAGTTGTGTGCTCTGTGCACGTCAGAACCGCGCTTTGGCGTACAGATTCGGAATAACAGCGGCTTAGTTGTCCAATAAAGCGAAAAGCGTAGTATTCAAGGAGCGTCTGTTTACATTTGTTTAGAAGACATTAAACAGTCGTTTCGCGGGAGTAAAGAAGAACCCATAGTTTTTTTCAATTTCCCTGCTAAATTCAGCAGAGAAACTGACGTTACACTCGTCAGGTGACGTCAGTTTCTCCGCCAAATCTAGCGAAGAAACTGAATCATTGCATAGGTCCTGTGAGGCCGGGTCACGTGGCGAACGAGTTTTCCGCTAAATTTAGCGGGGAAACTGAATTCGTGTATAGGTCTCGTGACGCAAGGTCACGTGACTTAGACTTTTCTGCTGTATTTAGTCGGAAAACTGAATTAATGTACGCGTCTCGTGACGTGAGGTTCTCCGCTGAAATTGGCCTGGAGACTAAATTGGTACGTAGTTGACATAACCTCAGGACAAACGAACGGGTCAGAGGGACAACATTGGGGATGAAGAGAGGGAGGGGGAGGGGGTCCGAAAAGAAAAAGAATGCATGCCTAAAAAAAAGGAAAAAAAGGAAACTAAACTTTTACGAAGAATTGTATGTGCATCAATTGTGACCTGCTATTCTCGTGACCTTAGCGTATTTACTGCACGAAAATCGCGGATATGGTTTTGTTGATAAAAGCACGTGCGTGAATCGATAAAAAATAATATTAATAATAATTTTTATATTTGATTACATGTATGGTGGGATTCAGAAAAAAAAAAAAAAAAGCCGCGCTAGACGTCTTGACGAGCTATCAACCTAATATATCCCGCAGCAGTTAGGTATAAAAAAAAATTAATAATGAAACACAAAATTCACTAGCACAGGCAAAACATAAATCAACATTGTCATTGCTGTCTGAGCAATTTCGTCACTAAGGAAGTGTCATACCGAAGTTCTGTTTTAAGTGTCGTCGATAGCCTATAATTCTAGAGGTTATAAACACTGAATCAGTAATACACGAACTCAACTCTCCTACGTCACGCCGCGGTGGTGGCGCGTCGGTCGCACTTCCGGTCTGGGGTGGTGGGCAGAAGTCGCCGTGCGAGACATGCATTCTTGTGTTCTTTTCGGATAAACCAGACAAAAAATCCGCGTTCTCGTCAAAATGCTGCGACGGGGGCTGTACCAAAAAGGGTTTGGAAAGGTTAGAAGATCAGTGTTCATGTGTTTCTGGCCGCTCCGTTCGTCCGAGTATGTGGATAGTAGCCGTGAAAAGGGTAAACCAGACGCTGTCGAACTACGATTGCTTGTGCGGGCAACACTTTGTGGTCGGCAGATGTATTTGTTTTGATCCAACATGAGCGAGAGAGAACCGCCAAGTTGTCCGGGCCACCCGCGGGTTCAGTGCGTCTTCAAATTCACACGGCCACATGATCGTTCAAACTTTCGTCTGCTCTTTCGAGCCTGCTTTTGGTCGTCTGCTCGTTCAAACAAAAGCGGCCCGTAGACCAAACTTTGACCCGGTGATTGCAATAAGAAGTAATTGCAGGCATCAAAAGACTTATGTAGGCTCGGTGTGAAGAGTAGATACAAGATTTTGATCATTTGTACCAGTGGCCATCACCGACTTGTTACGGTTGGTCTGTTCCGGCTTCCGAATTTCAGTATCGACGTCGATCATCGCCGCTACCTTCTACACTTTTGCAGAACGAGCGACGTAGCAACCGAAAATATCTAGAAGAATCTCATCATGGTTTTAGCGTCCATTCT